GTTCCTCTTCAACTTCCGTCTCTTCCGACGTACGCAATTTCTCGGATTTCGAGAATTCCGACCGATCGAGACCAGTTTTTCCAGAGCGTTTCTTCTTTCTTTTCTCGCGGCGATCGTCGGTTACGGTTATACCCGAAAGGAATGATGAGGAAATAGTCGAAGGATCGATCAGGAGAAAGAAAAAAGAAAGATAAATAAATAATCTTCGTTTCTAGAAATTCGTGAAACAGATTGTATTACATTTGGAAAGGGGGTAAACTCGAAGGAGGTAAATTGAAAAAAAGAAAAAATCGATCCTTTTTATTCGATATAACAAATAAAGCTATCTCGTTAACTGGCTGGAAACTCGATTGTTCGATGAAAATGAGAAAGAAAAAAAATTGAAAATCGAAAAGAAGAGGAGGGGTGGGGAGGAATATTGGGAGTTATATTGTTTTTACAGGCAGGAAACATGCATTCGCGGGGTAGGAAGATGCAACTGGTACCGTGTTTCGGTGGCGTAGAGATCGTGCTGTGTTTGTGGATCACGAGTGCTGTTTTAACACTGGTCGCGTCCCAGCAAAAGTTCTACATCCAGGGCCGGTATGGAAAACGGCAAGAGCCGCGTACAGGTGAGCGAAAATTAACATATATATATATGTATATTAAAAAACGCTAGAAATCCACTCGTATCGTATCGTCGTTAGTTTTTTCATTATTTCACAAATGGATTATCGATGGTTAGCTAGTTAATTCGATTCGTTTAATTAACGAATGTTCCAACTATTCCGATATTCTGATAATTATAAACCGCTCGTCGATCAACTCGTATCTATATTTGATACGATATCGCGGTTCACTCATCATTCGCGTTCGTTAAAAGCGCCAAAGCTTTAATTTTCCAGCTATTTTTTATAGCTTTCCACGTTTTTCCTCGTTCCACGCGTTCGATTCTCTGATCAGAAACCGTTGTTCCGGTTTCCTTCAATTATCCGTTTCCGATTTCCAGTCCAGCCTTCAATTATCCGATCTTTTCGCGTTTCGAAAATTTGAAATTTTACTCCAATATGGATTATAGATTTTTTCTCTCTCTCTCTCTCTCTCTCTCTCTTCGCATCTTCTTTCCTCATAGCGCGCGATCCGTGACAATCGAGTTCTTTTTCTTTTTCTTTCTTTTCAATTAAGAAATCTCTCGTTTCGATCCTCCTTGATCCAACGGACAATTCGTTCGATTTTATCGTTTATCGATTTTATCGTAACGATAAATCAGGAAGGAAATATTGTTCGTGTTAATAATAATTGTTATTTTTCCAAGAATAAAACCCTTTCAGTACCTTTACGATAATTAGTTATAATTCTTCGAGCGAATGGACGACAAAAGGAAATTGTACCATGTAAAAAATTTTATGGCAAATTAAACTCGAAGGGAGTTTTTTAAACGCGGATCCAATTTAACTATCGAATGTCCGGACTCGGGACATTTTTGTCCCCAGTCGTTGGTTTTAATATAACTTGTTTCAATTTCTCGGATAAGTATGTAAATTAAATGAAGCTTGCGTTATTTAGAAAAATATATCGAAATATCTCGTGGACATCGACGATTGTTTAAACAAAATTATATACAAATGTACAGATGTATTGATATATAAGAATAACAGAATAAATGGAACTTTATTATATTTAATCAATATATATTAAAGATTAAATTCATAATTTTCTTTTATTTTTTTTAAAAGTCGCAACTTTACTACTGGTTTCGCATCTCGTTTGACTCGTCTCACTCCATAACAAGAAAATTAGACTTTTAAATATGCAGAACATTTTTGTCCAGGGGATGATACGTTTAACGTAACATAATCACGAGTTCACGAGTTCGAAAAATTGTGAGAAAGCTATATTCTATCTATAAAAAGTGGCTGTAAAGATCGAAATTTAACCAACCTTTCTTCGATCGTTGTTTTCTTTCTTTTTCAACTCGTTACTCCAGAAATAACGAAGAAACTGATCTCCTTGGACGATCTCTTCGTCCCTCGAGGATTCGTCTGCAATTATATAACGTCTTAATTGCAGATTCGTTCTACGTGTCGGGAGGGAGGTACGGACGCAGCGAGAACGGGATGGAGAAGGCGAGCAAATCGCAATTGGCAAAGTTGGTGGAGGTGGAGGTGCCGAGGATAGATCGATTCGTTTGGGGTGGCCGATACGGGAAACGATCGCCCCCCGATTATCATAGGCCTATCTCGTCCGTCAATCGTTTCAGCGCTGTCCTCGACTTCATGGATCGGGTCGACCTCGATCGAGAGAACGATCTCAGTAATCGAAACGAGCTCGATTTTCTCCCTTAATAAAATCAACCACGTATACCACGGTGAGGATCGATCATTTTTTAAAGAAAAAAATTCTTCACTTCTGAACGTGTTTTTCTTCTTTTTTTTTTTTTTTTTTTTTTTTTTT